AAAGAAAAGGAAATGCAAGAAAGCAAAGTGGCTGTCCAACGAGGCCTTACAAATAGCAGAGAAGAGAAGGGAAACAAAATGCAAGGGAGATAGGGAGAGTTACAGAAAACTGAATGCAGACTTCCAAAAAATAGCAAGGAGAGACAAAAGGGCCTTCTTAAATGAGTAGTGCAAAGAAATAGAGATAAATAATAGAAAGGGAAAAACCAGAGGTGTGTTCAAGAAAATTGGAGATGTTAAAGGAACATTTCATGAAAAGATGGACATGATAAAGGGCAAAAATGGTACGGACCTAACAGAAGCAGAAGACATCAAGAAGAGGTAGCAAGATTACGCAGAGGAATTATACCAGAAAGATCTGGATATCCCAGACAACCCAGTTAGTGCAGTTGCTGAGCTTGAGCCAGACATCCTGGAGAGCGAAGTCAAGTGGGCCTTAGAAAGCATGGCTAACAACAAGGCCAGTGGAGGTGATGGCATTCCAGTTGAACTATTTAAAATCATAAAGGTGAAGCTGTTAAGGTGCTACACTCAATATGCCAGCAAGTTTGGAAAACTCAGCAGTCGCCAGAGGATTGGAAAAGATCAGTCTACATACCAATCCCAAAGAACGGCAGTGCCAAAGGATGCTCCAACTACCGTACAATTGCACTCATTTCACACAATAGGAAGTTTATGCTCAAAATCCTACAAGGTAGGCTTCAGCAGTCTGTGGAGCGAGAACTCCTGGAGGTAAAAGCTGGATTTCGAAGGGGCAGAGGAACTAGAGACCAAATTGCTAACATGCACTGGATTATGGAGAAAGCCAGAGAGTTCCAGAAAAACATCTACTTCTGCTTCATTGACTATGCAAAAGCTTTTGACTGTGTGGACCACAACAAACTATGGCAAGTCCTTAAAGAAATGGGAGTGCCTGACCACCTTATCTATCTCCTGAGAAACCTATACATGGGACAGGAAGCAACAGTTAGAACTGGATATGGAAACACTGATTGATTCAAAATTGGGAGAGAAGTACGACAAGGCTGTATATTGTCTCCCTGCTTATTTAACTTATATGCAGAATACATCATGCAAAAGGCTGGACTGGAGGAATCCCAAGTCGGAATTCAGATTGCCGGAAGAAATATCAATAACCTCAGATATGCAGACGATACCACTCAGATGGCAGAAGGTGAGGAGATGGTTGGACAGTGTCTGCGAAGTGACCAACATGAATTTGACCCAACTCTGGGAGGCAGTGGAAGACAGGAGGGCCTGGCATGCTCTGGTCCATGGGGTCGCGAAGAGTCGGACACGACGTATTGACTAAACAACAACAGCAGCCATGGGAAAGATCCACAGCCTACATTCACACCAACCCTATTGTTGGTAGCTCTCTGACTCCTCAGGGGCCTTAGGGTTTCTTTCAGTTAAAAAATAAATGGGAAGAAAATGGTGGCGGGAGGGGTAGGATGGTAACAGGCGTGGCCTGCCAAAGTCCAGAGATGGGTGGGTTACTCTCCTCCAGCTCAGGAGATTGCTCACCCCTGTTATCAGTTATAACAGTCAGTGTCTCCTTCAGGATGCAGCTCTGTAAGATAAAATATTTCCTAGATCAGCAGTAGTGGGTGCCTCTTGTTCCTGGAGCACAGACTTGTCTGCTTCACCTCTTGGCACAGTAAAGCACTGTTAATAATACAATGTGAAGTTCTAGCAAGGGCTGGTCTAAGGGAGGATACCTCTTCAGCAGTCATCACTTTGGGTGAACTGCTGCCCCCTGCTGGAACCACGGCCCTTTCCTGAGAGTAAGAAAAGTATATTTTTCTACTCTGTGTGTCTATCTATCGATTTATCTTACTGAATTATATTTATATATTGCACTGCATCCAGAAACTAAAGAACACACCCTATGAAGCAGGATAGATGGAGGTAATAACTGGACCAAGTTCACCTAATGAGGAATGGCTCAGGAGCGGGAATTTGCTGAACCATCTCAGGCAGCGTATGGCCAACCCTACCTCTTTTGTCTTGAGTCCCTTTGCCTGCACTCCTGTTCGGCCTTGGTGTCTGGGCCAGAGTCAATTTGTCCATTTCTGTAGAGAGAATGTATGTGTGAGAAGAAAATAATAATGTCTTTCTGGTGTACATTGCAAGACAAAATGAAACTACAGTACTGTACATTAGAATGTGAGACAAGTGCCCACCTCCCCTTCAGGGCAATGGCTTCTTAAGTAAAGGGGGAGAGGGATACCTCACCCCACTTCAGGAGGGGGGGTGCCCTCCCTACTAGGTCACAAGCTGCCTATGCCAACCACTCTTGACTGGGTTCATACAGCCCCGCTGGGGGACCCTGGCCCATTTGAAGGAGATCACAGACTGGAAACAATTAACACACACTACCTTATAAGGTTTGTTATGTGAAAATCCTGATTCAACCTACAGTATATTGCTTTCATATAGTCTTTATTGTCCTGGCTAAAAAAAGGTTGAGAATGGCATCAACACACACAGATTGCACCCGTTTTGCGCACATACTGGGAAAGGTAATACTTCTTTACTTCAGAGTAAACAAGCTAAAACGGCTGAACTGATGCCACTATACTGAGTACCTCTCACAGGAAAACACGAATCACTGGGAAAGACAACAATGCCAAGAAAGGTGGACCTTTGGTCTAGATAGGCGGGATAGAAATCCAATCAATCAATCAATCAATCAACGAAAATAAATAAAATAAGGCTCTGGGCAAAGAGGAAAGCCAAACATGAGAGGGACAGAGCCAACAGAGGGCCTTTACTTTCCAACATCTGTACAGGTCTGTTAATGACAGGATTTTTTGAAAGTCATTAATCCAGGGGGAAATTTGAAGCAACTTGAATGCACATACTGTACCACACTGAGTAGAAATCGTATGTTGTCATAAACCATCCAGAATAGTGCTTTGCCCTAAAGGGGTGGTAGGTATGTATGTATGTTATGTGTGTATGTGTGTGTGTAGTGTATGTGTGTATGTATGTATGTATGTATGTATGTATGTATGTATGTGTGTATGTATGTATGTATGTATGTATGTTTGCATGCATGCATGCATGCATGTATAACTGAATACATAAATTAAGCCGCTATTTTCCTTTCCACTTGCACCCCCGGTACTTTTAGTGAAGTAACAGCCGCCACCAAGTCCATTCTGACTTATGGCTAGGGAAGTCCAAACGTACCAAAATAAAGAGGCAGATGAAGAACAATGCGCATTCGGCTTTGCCCTCAGAAACCTGGGGCAGAGTTTTTCCGACGACGCCTACAATCGGGCCATGCGGAGAGCAGACGTGAGGACCGGGGAAACCGCGCCGGGTGTGGCGCTGCCAACGTCCCTGTCCTCGGCGTCCCCTCCCTCCCTGTTGTCTCGGTTAAAAAGAGAGAGAAAAAAAGTTCCAGACAGGCTTTGCCGCAATGCAGTCTGCGCGGCCTCCCCCGTCCCTCCCTTCCCCGGCTTCACACGACTTCATGAAGATGTCTGCAAAAAAAGGGCGGGCGGGGGAAGGGGAGCCCAAGCCGCGCTCCCGCCTCGCCCGACCGCGCGCGCT